GGCCGGCCGGCAGACTGAGAGTCGACAGAAAAGACTGAGAGTCGTTTTCGTCGCTCTGTCTCTCTCGCACTCGCGGGGCGTTCCTTATGGGTGCGAGAGACGAGGGGGCCACCACCCCCGTAATCCTGTGTACAAGTTTGCTGGTAATCTCTGGTAATCCATGGCGTAATCACGTAATCCTTGACAAAATTCTGTCATTTTTCAACGTTTTTGAGTCATTTTCCAACGTTTTCAAGCTATTTTTCAACGTTTTTGAACCAATTTTCGAAAATTTCACGCGTAATCCCTGGTAAATATACCGTAATCCCGTAATCTTGTGTACGCCTGAAATGAGAGTGGTGGCCCCCTCGGCGAGAGAGACACAGCGACGAAAACGGGAGTTGCGCGGCAGAGTGCGTTGGCGGCCCTGTCACCACATGACGCTGCGACAGCAGTGTGACAGCGGCGGCCCGTTTGGCCGACTGCCGCGGCCAGCCTTGGCCAGCCTGCAGACTGAGAGTCGTTTTCGTCGCTCTGTCTCTCTCGCACTCGAGGGGTGCTACAGAAGTGCTAGAGAGACAGACAGTCTGCTGGGCCAGGCCGGCCTCGCCACCGCTTAGCCGCTCTGCAACATGTTTCTATTCATTCCTTCATTGTCGCGTTTGGCGTCGTTCTCTTGGCCGAGGCCTATAACACGGGTCGCGTTTCGCGGGGCCTCCGGGCTGCCTGCGTGCGTGCGCTGTGTGTGTTTGTGTGCGTGCTCCCGCGCGTGCGTGCGTGTCACGTGACGTGGCGTGACGAGCTGCGTGCCTCCAAACACGTCAGGCTCCCCTCCACGCCCCGTCACGGCGTCACGCAGGCGTCACGCAGGCGTCACGTCACCTCGGCAGCCCCCCGCCCCCGCTGTGTTGTGGGTCGCCACCGACGATCAAGTCCTCAAAACGCGGCGCACTCAATATTTCAATTTTTCGACCGTAGAACGGTTGTTTTCCCTTCCGTTTCCCATCTGGACTGGGATCGAGGAACCCCCGGGAAATAGGAACCCGGCAGTATGCGGCGCTAATGCGTCCTAAGCGATTTAGCCTGCAGCCCGCATGTAACGCGTTGCTCTGTCTCTCTCGCACTCGCTGGTCCCTCTCCGTTGTCCGTCTCGCTCGCACCCGCGCGCGCACGCGTCCCGACGCGATGGCTATCGCACGCTACACTGTACGCACCGCAGCCCAGTGCGGGCACACTGTGGGCGCCATCTTGTTCCGCGGCCTAATCTGCATAGCGCTCTAGTTGACGCCCCGCCCCACGCTTTGGACCTCGTCGTCACTCTGTCCCTCTCTCTCTCGCACGCACGCTCCCCCCTCTCTCTGTCTCTCTCCCTCCTGCGCGGTCTCTCACGGTGTTGATGTGTGTACGCGGCGCGCGGAGCGAGCGATGCCCTCGCCTCACGCTATGCCTCACGCCGCGGCACGGCCGGGCACGGGAGTCCGGGGTTCAAATACCCGGTTCTGGCACCTTTGATATTCATTTTCAGTTTCGTTCTCCTCTGTCTCTCTGTCTCTCTCTCTCTCTCTCTCTCTCTCTCTCTCTCTCTCTCTCTCTCTCTCTCTCTCTCTCTCTCTCTGCACCTGCCGCGGCGGCTTAATGGGGCCAGGGCACGCGCCTCGGCCAAAGTCGATTGCGAATATGACTGTGACTTCCGGATACGAGACAAGGGCGTGTCATCATCATGGCGTTGTCGAAAACGAACGAACGCCGATGACGGACAGTGCGGGGCGGTCTGCATCTGACGGGCAGACGAGGAGTAATCGAATCCTCCCATTCGGAGGAAGAGTTTTGATGGGGAAGCCGCTGTGACGACACCGCCCTACCGGTCTGTCTGTCTGTCTGTCTGTCTGTCTGTCTGTCTGTCCGTCTGTCTGCCTGTGTGGTGCTTCCAGCTGGAGCCATCCGTCAGAAACCTCTCAGCAGACTGATTCCGAAAGTCCGTTTTCGTCGCTCTGTCTCTCTCGCACCTATTCGGGACACCCTACGAGTGCGAGAGAGACAGAGCGACGAAAAACGCCCCTCGGAGTCAGTCTTGCCGGTGCAGAGGGGGGCAAAAGTGTTGGAGAGTGCTGGAATCGGAAACAAAGCCTGCCCTCGCTGTCCGAGTGCAACTCTGCCAGACAACCGTAATTAGTGCAGCACTTATTAAATTACGACTTATCAGTATTTGGATTAATTCGGCTGGCCGGCCGCAAGGTGCGCGGTGGCGCGCGGTGGCGTCGGTAGCCGCGTACCCACACTTTTAATTACAGAAAGGGTTGCGGGTTCGCCTCCCCCCGCCGCCTTATTTATCGTGTGTCATAACCGCAGCGAACGATCGAGGCGTCAAGGGTCACGCCGGGGGAGCAGGGGAGGGGGGGGGGGGAGACGTAAGTGTCTTAAAGCGGTGTCATTTTTAATTTTCGCCGTGGGGTTTGTTTTCCTTCCGTTTCCCATTGGGGGACAAAAAATGGGAAAATGAGAAAATAATGCGTTTCAAGAAATCCTAGGAGTCACGCATGTAATTTTGTCTTCTAGCAGTCGCTGGCCACCGTTGTGTTGTGCACTCGTGGCTCAGGGACGGGGACGCACCAATGGCAGCAGGTGCCAATGTGGTCGATTTTGCCGCCCTAAATCTGCAACGCAAAAAGTTAGCCCCAACGTTTTGGAACCTTCGAAAATTCCAATCTAATGTCTCCCGCAGCCCCCTTCTCGGGACTCTTTTGCGGGGTCCTCATTTAAAATGTTCTTACGCGGAAGGCAGCGAGATGCCCTCGCCTAAACGCTTGGCTCACGCCGCTTCTGGGCCCGGGCACGGCCTTCAAAACCCCCGGCGGCAGCTGATATTCATTCAGCTTTCGGGCTTAACTGCCCCTCCATTGTTCTCGTTGCTTGTTTCTTGTTCTCTCTGGTTCTCTAGTCTCTTTTCTTCTTCTGTGTAATAGTTCTCCCCTCCGCGGGGGAATCCAGGCACGCGCCTCGGCCAAACTTCAATATGACTGGTGACTTCGAAGTTTCAAAGACGGGGTGATCTTGTTCGAGAACATGAGCACTGCAAGTGCGAGGTGGAGCGAAGTGGTCCTGTCTAACTAAATCACAACAACAACAAATTGTTTTATTGCAGAAAAAAAAGTAATATTTGGGGAAACTTATGTCAGCCCAACGAACTTTTGTTTTGCTATTTTTTGTGAATATTTTTTAGACAGTTATCACTAAAAATTGAAATTTGTTTTGTATGTTTTCCTAGGGGCCCAGGAACCATCCGTCAAAACACAAAGAGAGCAAATTAATACAGTTTCAATGCTCAGTTGGTTCACCCCTGTTCGGTGAAACACCTACTGCGATGCGAACACACCGATCAAGAAAACTGGATAGTTCTCCCCGGGGAAAAAAGGGGTTGGAAGTCGGAATCGAATTCTAATGCCTGCCCTCGCTGCCCTAACCTCCCAGTCAACCGTAATTAGTGAAATTTTAAACGATTTCAGTTTTGGAGTATTGGCGGGCCAGCCCCAAAAGGTGAACCCGGTTTTGGCCGCGGTGGCTCGGTCCCCCCACTCTCTTGAAGTCACCAGGAAAGGGTTTGCAGCTTTCCCTCAACCTGGGCCGTTAACGTGTTTAACCGCAGCGAAATCAGCGTTAAAGGTTCCTAGGAAGCGAAAGAGTGTCTTTGAAATAGCAAAGTTTGCGTTAATGCCCCTCGGGCACCTTGTTGGGCTTTGGGGTATACAAAATAAGGTTTAGTGAAATAAAAAACTGAGCCGCCGCCATTGGGGTTCGAACCCGGTCCCGCCGGTCGCGGGGTCGTTTCCCGCGTTTTGGCGTGCTGCGTGCCAATTTATTAACCCGCGAGGGCACGGCGCGCTACACTGGAAGTACCGCGTGAGGAATGGCTTCTAGTGGCGCGGCCTCTTCGGGCACCTTCGGGCACCTGTGGACTGATTCCGAGTCGTCGCTCCGTCGCTCTCGCACTCTTGGGGCGTTTCCTTGGGTGCGAGAGAGACAGAGCGACCAGTCGGCTGGGCCGGTATTAATGACCGACCTGATTCCACCTGCCGGCCCCGAAAAATCGCCGGCCGCCGGGACTCGAACCCGGGCACCCCGGGCCGGAAGTGTTTCCGTGACTGAGGGCAGTCGGGCCTGGGCCAGGGCCCGGCGTGGACGGGGATGTTGTTCTCCGCCAAATTTCAATACCCAGCAGGCGGCAAGACCGCCTCGGACGCTCTGCTCCGCTCGGCCGGCCGGACACAGGTTTTGCTTCCCGCAGGCCAAGTCTGGCGCATTAAGACGCAAGCTGTGAGAACATTTTGACAGTTGGTCGGCCTGTCGACGGGTTCGCAGACAGAGTTGCCAACTGTATCACTACTCACGCGCACGCTGGCGCAGGCTGGCGCACGCACACACGCATTCTCTTCGCGTGCAGATAAGCCGGCCCTCCCGCGGCGCCTCGCGTTCGCGCCCGCCGCCAAGCCAGTCGAGTGCCTCAAGTTGGCAACACTGTGCTCGGCGGCCGCGGCTCCGCGGTTCGAATCCCACCTTTTTTTTCTTTTCGCTGTTTCCTCAATTTCCCCGTTGACCCGGCGCGTCTCGGGCCAAGCTGGAGGCGGCACGGGTACGTAGCACTCTGCAGACCGAGCTTCTGTCTCTCTCGCGGGGCGTGCCGTGCAGGTGCGAGAGAGACGTAGCGTCGAGTCTCGGAATGAGTCTGAGTGCAAGTAAGTGCATTGAGTTGGCCGCCGTCACGGTCCGGGGCGCGGCGGCGCGGCGCTGGCCCGGGGTGCGCAGCGGAGCGTCACCCAAGGCAACATGGAGGTTAACACGAGGGTGCCTCGCTGAGTACCGAGCACGCCGAGCAGGCCGAGCTACCCAACCCATGCTGCCTGCCGGCCTGCCGGCCTGCCGGGCACATCCCGGCCCCGCCCCTCTACCCCGCCAAGCATCGGGGAGAGACACACCCGAAAAGAAAATCCTCTCGGAAACTAACCTGTGCCTTCCTTCTGTTGCAGACGCATGTTCCCCACGCTGCGCGTGTCCTTCACGGGCGTGCGGCCGGAGCAGCGGTACGCCGTGCTCATGGACATCGTGCCCGTGGACCACAAGCGGTACCGGTACGCCTACCACCGGTCCAGCTGGCTGGTGGCGGGCAAGGCGGACCCGCCCGCGCCCAACCGCCTCTACGCGCACCCCGACTCGCCCTTCTCCGGCGAGCAGCTCCGCAAGCAGGTCGTGTCCTTCGAGAAGGTCAAGCTCACCAACAACGAGATGGACAAAGGGAACGGGGGCCAAGGGTTTGGAGTTTCCCGACACCTTCACTTTTTCAGATCATATTCAATTGACTTCAAATTTGTTTATTACTTGTTGTAAATACTTTGTCATTCATTCATTCATTCATTCATTCATTCATTCATTCATTCATTCATTCATTCATTCATTCATTCATTCCGCTGCCTTCCCTAAACGTGATGCCCATCGAAATAGTACACACGGTAGTGAGTCCATTCAGCCCAATCCGTCACGCTGGTCCGGCCCTCGTCTGGTTTGTGCCCCTGTCGCTCCGTCTCTCTCGCACCCGACCGGCACGCCCCGCGAGCGCGAGAGAGACAGGGCGACGCGGTTCATTGATCATGTTTCTAATCCCTAGTCATCCAATACATTTACATGCGCGACTGATCCGATCAGGCTGGCCGCTCGGTCCGTCCCGGCGGGCTTAGAGAGAGACAGAGTCGCCAACAGCGCCCGGCCAACAAGCGTCACTGTCACAAACTATTAGCGGCGGGCTTATCGGGGGGCCATCGCCGAGGTGTCTGCCAGCCCCGCCTGCCCCGCCCGGTCGCGGTGACGAGGCGCTGTGGCCCGGCCGGCCCGGATGCTGCGGGCTCGTTTTTCCGACTTAGTGTCCGCCAGTCGCACCGCGGCTCAGAGACAATGGCCGATCAGTTTCAGCTCCGAAACGAGCCTTGGCGCCTAGGCCCGGGTGCAGGCGACCCGCGGCGGGGCACGGCGCGGTCTAGGAGTGTCGCGTCCACTAGTAAATCGCAGCCGAGTGTAAACAAACATGACAAGCGAGGCCCGGTGAATCAATCATTTGGAGGTGGAGTACCAAGCGGGCCATCCCAGACTGCTCGACGCCCACCACCGACCCGCATCTTCTTATGCCCCCTTTCCGCACCTCCCCACCCGTGGCCTACCCGGGGCCTACCTGGGGCCTACCTGGGGCCTGCCTGGCCCCCCGATACCCTCCGGAATTCCTTCACCTTGTCATCGTTCGCTTTTTTCCCTCCGTCTCTTTTTTTGGAGGCGATTGCCTCCGGACCGACCCCTTGTCGTGTTCGACGAATCAATGAGTAAGTATCTGTGATTTCACCTCAGAGGCGGGGAGAGGGGGGGCTTTTTCTGGTTGACCCAGCCATTTGACCCGGCCCACACGCGCGTGCGCTTTTTTACAGTGCCGAGGCATCGTTGGGTGTCCAACGCTTACGCAACCCACCGAACGCACTACCACCGCGTTGAGTTGTCAAAGCGTGGTACCACGCGTTCCAGAAAGTAAACATTAATTATTTTTTTCGAATGTAGATGAAATAAACGGCGCGTCCATCCGCCTTAGCAACTCGAGTCGTTCCCGCACTGTAAGTCGGCCCGACGAGCGGGCTGACCCCGTTGGCAGCGACTGTCTCTCTCGCACCCCCGCGGGCTTCTCGGGTTACCTTCGAAACGGCGGCGCTTCTCGGACGCAGCCTGTCCGCTCCGCCATTGTGGCCGCGTCGCTGTCGCGGTGCCTCGAACGCAGCCGCGGCGGAGAATAGGCCGAATAGGCCAGCCAATCGGATCGTGATTGATCGAGCTGACACCGAGGGCCCCGGCCGGCCGGCCCCGCCTCGAAGGAGCCTTGGGCGCCGTGCGTACGACTTGCCGGGCAAAGCGCGCCGACGCACAGTGGGCCAGAAGACCGGTGGAGGCGGCCAAAGACGCGTTTTGAGCTCCAGAGTCGTTAAATGGGACTCGAACCGAACGTGTGACCCCACCAATGGATTGCTCTCCGAACGAGGAATCCATTGGTGGGGTCACACGTTCGATTCGATTCGAGTCCCATTTAGCGACTCTGGAGGCGTCTAGAATTTTGGCCGCCTGCGCCGGTCTTCTGGCCCACTGTGCGGCGGCCACCTCAGGCCACCTCGTCGACGCGGTCCTCGGGGCACCTCGGGGTGCCCGTCCTCCCCGCCGCCGACGGCTCTATCCGTGATTAGCCTGGCGACGTTTTCCGGCCCTTGTTGGTTTAACGCGGTGATGGATCGATGCTTCGATTGGCTGCGGAACGAATGCCGCCCCGTCCCGCCCCGCACAGTGGGCCAGAAGACCGGTGGAGGCGGCCAAAACTTTAGACGCGTTTTGAGCTCCAGAGTCGCTAAATGGGACTCGAATCGAACGTGTGACCCCACCAATGGATTGCTCTCCGCACGAGGAATCCATTGGTGGGGTCACACGTTCGGTTCGAGGCCCATTTAGCGACTCTGGAGCTCAAAACGCGTCTAGAGTTTTGGCCGCCTTCCCCGGTCTTCTGGCCCACTGTGCCCCGCCCCGCTCCCGCGCCTGACCTTTACTCCGGCTTCTTTTATTCAGCCGCGACTACGCGATGTTCGCTCGCGAAACGGCGCGGTCGTCCGTACGGCGCCACCGTCGCCACCTGTCCTGAGGCTCCACCACACCTGCCCCAGCGGCCCCGGCGGCCCCACCGTGACGATGACCCGCTCGCGGTCACTCCGTCTCTCTCCCTCTCTGGCGCTCTGTCACTCCCTCTCTCTCTTTCTCTGTCGTAAATCAATAAATATTAATGCCGCCTCATTAAGGGATCAAGCAACGGGTTTTTCGCTGCGGTAATAGTTTTCGGTTTACACTTTTCTTCTCTCTCTTTTTCTCTCTCTCTCTCTCTCTCTCTCTCTCTCTCTCTCTCTCTCTCTCTCTCTCTCTCTCTCTCTCTCTCTCTCTCTCTCTCTCTCTCTCTCTCTTATTATTGTCGTATCAAAACGGTGGCAATAAAATTAACAGTGGGCGGTGTTGGGCTCCGCTCTGCTCCGCTCCCCGTCCGCGCGTCAAACGCAGTGTCTCGAAGCCCACCGAACCGAGCGAGCGACCGACCGACAGGTGGAGGCGCTTCGCCTTGTAGTACACGCTTTTCCATTAGGACCTCTTAACGAACAAGCGATTTGCTGCTTGATATCAGCTCGGAGGGGATGCGACTCCGTGGCGTGCGCGCATCAGACTGACTCCGAGAGTCGTTTTCGTCGCTCTGTCTCTCTCGCACCTGTACGGGACGCCCCGTGAGTGCGAGAGAGACAGAGGGACGGTGCGTGGGTGCGGCAGAGGAGCAGCTCTGGGGCGCCCTCCTCACGAAAGGCGCAAGACGCATGCGCACGCACACACTCGCACAGCCGTCTCTCTCGCACGCACGCATATCACGCTCCGTGCGTGCGAGCGATCTTGCGTGTCCGCGACAATAATAACGAACGGAGCCTTATTTAGTCGTTCGTTTCTTTGACCCCTGTTTTGTCCACTCGCCGTTCTCCTCGCCCGCCCGCCACCCTGGTGTGTCGCTGAAAAAAAAAGAGAAGAGTAAAATCAACGTCAATTCTAACTTTAAAAAAGATTAATTAAGAATTTGGAGGGTGGTCTTTTTGTCAACCTGACGACATTTAACTCAGAAAAACAATCAAATTTACTTACAGTCAATTCGACTCAACGTATTTTTGGACAGTGTATGTACTTTTACCTCCAAAACTGCTTTCGCTATGCTAACGTCCACCTCTCCGTTGTTCCAGATCGTGCTCAACTCGATGCACCGGTACCAGCCGCGCATCCACCTGGTGAAGTGGCGCGAGCACTGCGGGACCATCACGGACCTGGACCAGGAGGAGCACCGGACCTACGTCTTCACCGAGTCCGTCTTTACGGCCGTCACCGCCTACCAGAACCAGCTGGTGAGTCCAAGGTCCCCGGTTCGCCGCCCCGCGACGCCGCCGCGCAGTGGGCCAGAAGACCGGTGGCGGAGGCGGCCGAAACCCTAGACGCGTTTTGAGCTGCAGAGTCGCTGAACAGGACTCGAACCGAACGTGTGACCCCGCACCAATGGATTGCTCTCCGAACGAGGAATCCATTGGTGGGGGTCGCGCGTTCTGTGACTCCTGCGCTCGAACCGCGTCCGCCTCCACCGGTCTGCTGACCCGCTGTGCGACCCGCCGAAAACAAAAGAAACGTTTTTTTCGCGCAGCGAGAAAATAATAAAAATGATAAAACCAACTTGTTATTAATTCTCTGTGAATTAAAATGCGCTTTCTCGCCGCGTCGATACCGCCTGCCGACAGAGAGAGAGAGAGAGAGAGAGAGAGAGAGAGAGAGAGAGAGAGAGAGAGAGAGAGAGAATTTATCGAGCCCGGCTTCCTGTGCAGATGCGCGGCGATGCGCGCGCAGCGGGCCTTGCCTGCCTTGCCTTGCCGGCCGGGCCGCCCGCAATGCAGCGGTGCCGCTACACTATGAACTGGCGAGGCCGCTGGAAACGCTGGAAACGTTTTTCACGATTTTGACGACCTTTTTCCGACAGTGTAGGCCACCGCTGTCGTTTGGCGTGGCGGTGCCGGGCTAATGAATTGATCACGCAACCCGAAGGAAGCCTGCAGACCGATTCCGAGAGTCGTTTTCGCCGCTCCGTCTCTCTCGCACCAATATGGGACGCCCCACGAGTGCGAGAGAGGCAGAGCGACGGAAACGACTCTCGGAATCAGTCTGCAGGCCGGGCCGGGAAAGGCAGTGCAGTGGAAAGGCGGCAAGCGGGAAAAGGCGAGTGAAACTTGCAGTGGAGGGGAGACCGCGAGGCGCTGGCGCTTAAAAACTGAGTGACGCATTGACGAGGCCGATCAAAAGAGGAGGGGGGCGGGCCGCGTGGCCGCGTGGCCGGCCTATTGGCACACCGCGGCCACTGCGGCGCCGAGGGGGGCGACCGGCACTAGGATTGGCCGCTCCGCTCAGCGCGCCGCGTTTCGTCGCTCTGTCTCTCTCGCACTCGTGGGGCGGCCCCGCGAGCGCGAGAGAGACAGAGAGCGCGGCGGCATAGTGAATGAAGCGGCGGTGATTTGGTCGGCGAAGTTGCGCCCCTCTGGAGGCACTCGCGCGATGATGATGCGGGGCTGGAGGGTTTTGCCTCTCCTCGGCCCCCGGCAGTCGCGCAGTGGGCCAGAAGACCGGTGGAGGCGGCCAAAACTCTAGACGTGTTTTGAGCGGCAGAATCGCTCAATGGGACTCCAACCGAACGTGTGACCCCACCAATGGATTCCTCCTTCTGAGAGCAATCCACTGGTGGGATCACACGCTCGGTTCGAGTGCCGTTCAGCGACTCTAGAGCTCAAAACGCGTCGAGAGTTTTGGCCGCCTCCACCGGTTTTCTGGCCCAGTGTGCGCGGCTCGCCGCGGCGAGGCAGTGCACTGGAAGGCCTGCAAGGGCCCCGAGATCCTCATTGTCTTTTCCATTTATTTAATTCCCAACCCGTTGGCCGGCGTGGCCATGGCCGCCCCGCGCCCCGCGCAGCCAGCGAACCTCGCCGAGATCGTGATAGATGACTCTCCCCCCTCCTCCTCTCTCTCCGCAACCCTTCTGCCTCCCACTTCCCAATCTCATTACCTAATTTCCCTGCTTTTCCGTTCCAAATCTTGGCGGGGCGGGGCGCTGCCTTGGCGCTGCCACCGCGAGGACTGGCGCTGTGACCCCCGCGGCTCCCGGAGGAGGGCTTCCTGTCGTCTGCTTCCGAACGGCGCTCTCTGTCTCTCTCGCACCCCTGCGGCACGCCCCGCGAGTGCGAGAGAGACAGGGCTTTGTGGAAGCGCGCGCTCCGTCCTTGTCGCACGCGCGGCAGCGCCGCCTCCATTTCCCGCTGATGAATGCCTCCTCGTTTCCAGTTTAATTTAATTACATTTTTCATTTTTCCCGCGTTGAAGTTGAACGCGTCGGGCCGGTCGACGCGCTTCGCCCAGCTTCGCCCTGGGTATCACTGCCCGTGTCGAATGCCGGTAATTTGATGTGTATGTGTGTTGTTGTTGCTGTCGGCTTTGTTCGCTTTGTGGCGGGCCGACCGTCCGGGACCGTCCGTCCGGGATCCAGGCATCGCCGGGGGCGCCTAGTTTCAGTTTCATTCTTGGGGCCGGCGCGGTCGGCACGGCGAAGGGAAGGACGCGTTCCGTCTCTGTCGCACTCACGGGGCGTCCCGCAGCGGTGCGAGAGAGACACAGCAGGCAACCCGGCGTACACGGGGCACCGGCGGGCCGGCCCGCCCTGCCGGGCGCACAGTGGGCCAGAGGGCCGGTGGAAGCGGCCAAAACTCGGGACGCGTTTTGAGCTCCAGAGTCGCTAAACAGGACTCGAACCGAACGTGTGACCCCACCAATGGATTCCTCGTTCGGAGAGCAATCCATTGGTGGGGTCACACGTTCAGATCAAGCCCCATTTAGCGACGCGTCCAGAGTTTTGGCCGCCTCCACCGGTCTTCTGGCCCACTGTGGGGCCTCGCACCGGCAGAGGCCGAATTTTATCCCGACTTTTGGGCCCCTCTTTGGCGAGTGGTCGCTCCACTTGGCCCCTGAAAGCGTCAGTCCTTTTGCGTCCGTTCCCAAATCCAGTGCAACTTTACGGCCATGTTTACGGTGGCGAGGCGGGGCCGGCGTAGTGCGAAGCCGATATGATCGCCTCGGGGGCACGGCGCGGCGTGGGGCGTGGGGGCCTGTCCGGTGGAAGGGGGATGCCCCTCGCGGGGCCGCAGCCAGAGAGGCAGCCAGGCGGCCCACGGGGCCACGGCCCCACGGGCCCAGGGGCACGCATTAGAGCCTAACCACGCGCTGTTTTGTCTGACCATTCGATTTTGATTGAGATTTATGTTGGTGGTGCAGCGCGCTGCTATGCACGGCCCGCTGCCCACAACTCGTGCGAGAGAGAGAGAGAGAGAGAGAGAGAGAGAGAGAGAGAGAGAGAGAGAGAGAGAGAGAGAGAGAGAGAGCGCTGGCGGCGATTGAGATGTCGAGTCTTCGTGACGCCCTGCCACCCCGAGAAGGCGGTGATGGTTTCACCCTTTGGATGCATCACGCGTGATAACCGAAACTTCCGTGGCGAAAGACACAAAAAGACGAAACATCTTTCACTTTTCTGACACTGTGCAGCCGATTGGCGGACGCTGGGCTACTAAACAGTGTGCCAACTTGAAAAAATACGATTTCAAGAAATCCTAGGAGTCACGAAGTAAATTTGGGTAGGAGTGTGGGGAAAGCAAAAAAGTTATGTAAAAGGTAGGGGTGGCTCAAGGGTGGCTACGAATGGCAGTGGTCCAATGTGGTCGATGTGCCACCCGTCAAAATTTAACCTTGGCAATAAAGAGAAATCAAAATGCCGGGAAATTCAAAAAAATTCCAATGCTAATGTATTCCACAGTGATCCGACAAGGAACATCTTTGAAGTCCATCATTATGAAAATTTTGGTTGCAGAAAGAAGGCAGTAAATTAATTTTCGCGGGTTGGCAACAATTTTGTCGGCGCCCGCGCCCTTGCGAAAATCGCGAAGCTGAAAACACGAGTATAGTCGCGCATTAAAACGCCCCTCCATTGTTGCTGACGTTGAATTGTTTGGCTTGTTTCAAAAGGCTACGGTTCTCTAGTCATGTTTTCTTCAATTTTGTGTAATAGTTCTCACTCACAACGTAGCAACACCACGACGGTTGGCTTGACAAACTTTATAAACTCGAGAGGGATGGTCTCGAAACGCGGGTGAGTCTTGTTCGAAGAACATGGGCACTGAAAGTCGCGAGGTGGAGCGAAGTGATCATGGTGCTAACTGAATCAGAAGTACCATCAAACCTGGTTAAAAAGGGGCAGCTATATGACCAGCTTATTCAAAAGAGACTAAAAGTCTTAAAGCGACTCTTAAACTACATTAAGGGAAAGAATCACAGATGCATGTGCACAGGTACGCAGTTAAATGGCTCAATTCACTCCGATTTGAAGAGTAACAAAATTTTCAACAAAACAACAGCAAAAACAACAACGCAGCGGTGCGGGATTGGTGCGGGACACTCTCATAAAGTCACTGGCCGGCCGGCCGATCCAAATGGCCACGTTCGAAACGACACCAATTCTATTGTTGCATCTTGTCTACCTGCAGTCAAAGAAATTTTTCATTTCGAACGTGCTATTTCAGCTTTTGGAGTAGCTGTACAGACCCAAAAAGAAGCTCCGCTATTGGTCCGGCTCGGCTCGGCTCCCCCCCCTCCTTTTTTTCCTGTGACGAGTCGAGTTTTGCCATGGAAACGGCGATTTTGACAGCAAATTTCTAAAAAGGCCTTGACTTTTTTAAACCCGATTTCAGCATCAGAATCAGCGTTCAAAGTTCTACAAGTCTGCAAAATCTCATTAAAATCGTATAGAAATTTCCGAAATGCATAAAGGGCCCACAAATCGAATCTCGGGCCCTGAAACCTGGGTATACTATAGGCTACTTCGTGCCTAAAAACGCAAAGAAACATCAAAAAGAAGTATCGATATGGAGAAGAAGTAGCCAGCTCGATTGAGTTAGGTGGGCCCTGTCCCGTTCATAGCCTGTAGGAAGAGTGACGCCACCGGCGGCACTTTTGAAAGGCGCGGCGAGTACGCACTCAATATGCAAATGGTGTTTGTGCCATGTCCCGGCCTTCGCTGCCGTCGCCTCACTTCGCCTGCCTTCAGCGCGCTTCGGCGGCTAGGGCACTGGTAGTGCCGGCCGCGCTCTGATCGAGTGGCGAAGCGGTGAAGGGGGAGGGGGAGAGGGGCGTGGCCAACAGCGCTTTTCGGTGAAAATACATGGCCAGCGAACGGAAGCACAAGTTGGCGCCCCGTGAGCGATGGTGTGGGGAAAGGGGGGGGGGGGGGGGGGTGTTCGCTCGCGGCTGTCACGGAGTTGACAGGTCAGACGGTAGGGAGCAGGGGCCGTCGACAAGCGTGGACCGCGCCGAAAGGGGCGCGGAGAGAGAGAGAGAGAGAGAGAGAGAGAGAGAGAGAGAGAGGGGGCGTGTGTGCGGGTTCCTGGGTGGCATGATGGGTCCTCAAAAAAAAAAAGTCAATGTTACGTTAACAGATGTCTGACGGGGTAAGCAGGAAGAGAGACAGGGGAAAAGGGGGGGGGGGGGGGGGGTAAAGTCACGACAAGCGCGGGCCGCCCCCCTTTTCGATGGCGTGAGGCGCGGCCACGCCCGCCAAGCCCCGCGGCTCCCCACTGTAAATGCGTGGCGGCTTTTTTTCAATGGTGTGGCGGCTTCATTCATTGGCCGCCCGGTGGCGTGAGCGGCAGCGGCGCGCTCGCCCGTTTTACAGCGCCGCTGTCGTTACGTGTTTGCCTTTTTCATTAAGACGGTCATTTTTTTATTTTCACAGCACCCAAACTGAAAATCGACAGCAACCCGTTTGCCAAAGGGGTTCAGGGACTCGTCTAATCCGGACTTCGACAGGTGAGAATGCGGGAAAAGGGAAACAGCCGGGGAGGTGGCAGTCCAGACTGTCGTTTTCGTCGCTCTGTCTCTCCCGCACCTGCACGGGGGGCCCCTGAGTGCGAATGAGAGACAGACGACGAAAACACCTCGGAAACAGCACTGAGAAAAAAGTCTGGTTAAAAGTACCCGACCAATCCTAGTTAAACGAGTGCTAGTTACTCATACGAGAATCTAGTAACTCTCACCAGATGATCAGTTGCAGTAACCAGATCGGGGTTGTGACATTTACCAGGTGTCTGGTAATAATCCTGGTAAATTTTACCAGACTGTTCCGTAATTGGCACATACGTAAAACTTCGAAATATTCGTTTCAATTGAAATGTTGGGTGTCAAAAAATAAACTGCAACCGGTTTCGTTATTTTCGTGTCTTAAATCCGAAAGAAACACGGAGATTTCCCTGAGCCAGACACGTAGAGAGTCACCTGGTGGGGGTCCCCTCGACCCCAGGCGACGTGGTGGCGCAGAGGTAACCTGCCCGTCTCAAAGTGTGAGATCCCGGTTCGAATCCCGGGGGAGAGGAGGAGGAAAAAAAAACAATTCAGGGTTGTTCGTGAACGAAATCGACGTCACATCAGGTTTCATCACTACGAAAAAAAATTTTATTTAAAATTTTTGGGCTTCTTACTTCAGTTTTGTAAGCACATTAACTAACCAGGATGTTTGGTAAAACCACCCGAAGGGGACCTGGCGGCATTGTGAGGATAAA